CAAGTAACTGGGAAACTGGACTGGGTCCGCTGTGCCTTTTGCTTTCACCAGAAATTATTTCATTTTACGTTCCTTCTCCCCCAAGTGTAGTTCAAAGTTTATTCAGCAGAAATAATTTGCTTTTGCCTCGTAGTTAAGAATGCACCTAACTCAGGTGATTGGTATCAGGGTGATCAAAGCTAAGAAAAATTCTTTACCTATGTTTCATCTGTACTGTACAAACGTTCTTTTAAGAAAACTTAAAGTTCAATAACTGGTCAGTACTTTGTGTCTGAGCTGATATTTTGATCAGGCTTAACCTTTGCTCTTTAACAGAGAGACATAAGTCTCTATGTTGACAGACATAACAGTGTATGAAAACAGCATATCTTTTGCAAGCAACTAATATTCAAGAACGTTGTTCCTTTAAGCTTTATTATATTTAAAATAAGATTGGCCATTGACAAGTTTTCTTTAATCAGCATTTGGGCAAATGAGAGAAAAGATTGGGAATCATTCCCTACCACATGACTTTTGCCTGGAAAGGACCAAATCTTTAAACTACCTTGCACTAAACATCTCTAGTTCACTTTTTTGCTTTGGTAGCATATGCCTACAAAATTTGCAAGACAGTGAGACAGCAAGATCATGTTTGGTGACTGGATAGCTGTAATCCATGAACACATCATAATTTTAGGTTTGTGTTGTGCCTATTTAAACAGACATAAATGGAAACAGGGCATTAAGAAAGAAGCTGCATGTTTCAGCCAGACTTCTTAAAGTATATAGTAATTAATTTATTATTTATTTATTCGTATATTTTAGATGGCAAGGAATTTGATGCGTTCATATCCTATGCAAAACTAAACCCTTCTGAAAGTGACTCTACTTTAATTAGTGAGGAAAAATTTGCCCTGGAGCTTCTTCCAGATATGCTAGAAAATAAATATGGATACAAGTTATGTATTCTTGAAAGAGATATTCTTCCGGGAGGAGGTAAGTTCCCTGGGCATGGTAGAAAATCTTCAGTTTTTATAAAATTTTGATTCACTTAAAAAAAAACCCCAAAAAAACCCTTTATGCACCAGAGCAACAAATTGTATAATTAGGTAGTAGAATTTTTGTTCAAATCTCACAATGTTTTGATCTTTGTGTTTGGTCCCTGCTCCTGACACACACATGCTATGGAGTGAGGTCACTGTGAGCTACTAGGCTGAGACAAATCTTCTTGTGCAAGAATTTCTTTGCAAGCAGACTCCTTTCCCTGGAAAGAAGACTTCAAATATTTGAGTAGTTACTTTCTGAGTGACTTTAGCCAGTGCTACCTCAGTAACTAGAAAGCCCTGTGGGAGAGATGAAGACAGGTCCAAGTGTCCCTTGAGACCCCAGCTGTGCCCTTCATGTCCTGAGCAGAAAGTTGTGTTCTTCAGCTGTATAAGAACAGCCATGGTACCCTCTGATAGCAAACTCATTTCTAAGTGTTATATGATTACTCTGCATTCCTATTCTTGACTTTCCTTATTTCTGGATTTTAGCTGTTGATAAAGGAACTGATAAGATAGAAACTCCTTTGCAGAATGCAGTAACTCTCACCATTTCCTCTCCAGCATACACAGATGAAGTTGTAACAGCTATTAAACACAGCAGACGGGTAATAATAATTTTGAGCCCAGCCTATGTCAGTGGACCAAGCATCTTTGAACTACAGGCAGCGGTGAACTGTGCATTGGAAGATAAAGGGATCAAACTGGTATTAATAAAGTTCCAGGATTTCCAGGAGCCAGAGACTTTGCCTCCAGTAGTGAAGAAAGCACTTCGGATTTTACCAATCGTTACCTGGAAGTCTTCCATTTCTGCTGCTCCACACAAGAAGTTCTGGAAATACATGCGTTACCACATGCCAATGAAAACTACTAAGAGGCTGCAAAGTTTCAGCCTCAAGGACTTGTCCCAAAGGTTATTCAGACTGGTATAGATAGGAGAAATTTCACAGGGGGATGACATCAGGCTCAGGAATGGTAACATGATTGTCAAATACCTCTTTGGTGTTGTCTGACAGCTGTCAACTGTCACTACAGCCAGCAACAGATCGCTCTGAAACAGTCAGAAGGACTGAAGTGTGACAGTGCACAGCAAAACTGTGCCCCTGCACACAACTGTAAATGTAAGCCATCTTTCATAAATTAATATTTTATTACCATTTTAATTATACAATTTTTTACTATTTATTATACCATTTTGCTCTGATTTTGAGACGTACAATGTTCTTTGCACTGCATTCCTTTCTGGAATACTTTAACGCTTATTTTGTAGAAAAAGATTTTAAAAAGGGAACTCCAGAGGGGGCTTGCAGTTTAATTTCCTGATGCAGTCCAGTGGAACATACCCATATTCCTCAAGTGAGTTACCTCCTTCAGTGGGAACACCAAGAAAATACCATGAGAGACTGTTACAGCTGGGTATGCCAAAGGGATTCAGAAAAGAAGGACCACTGTGTAGGCTTACCCCAGGCATCTCCATCCTTCCTTCAATGAGGGGAAGAATTCAACCAGCTGTAAAACAGTTCACACTCAGGGACACCTGTACCTGATCATTGCTGATCCTGTCTGATGCTGGTCACTCAACACCCACTGAACATGTTGGCACTACGGGTGAGTTGCAGGAGCAAATCAAAGCCCTGATTGTCACTACTAGTAGACTTCCAGGGTCTCTAAATCTTTCCCTTGCAGTCCTCTGGCTGCCAACTCTCCAGAGCCCATACCACTTATTCTCAAATCATCTTGCAGTCTGTGTGTATGTCTGTAGCTGAGTGAAATTCAATGGTCAGTATTAAAGAATCTGAGCGGTATGGCCTCTTCTCTGTTGTTCTGCTCACTTCATTTGGCCTTCAAGTTAACAAATCCTTGTTTCATAATGCTAATTGAACATCTCATCTGCCAGATTCCTTGTTGGAAAGGGATTCCAAGAAATACTACTGTTGGGTTCAAAGTTTTTGTGGGAGGAATGATGGTGCTGTGAGGCTGACAGAAGATAGTACTTCGTGGAGAAGTAGAACATCAAAGGACATCTCTGACTGTACTGTGGAGTTTTAACTTCTTTCTTGTTAAGGCTGGGATTAAATGTCTGAGATGGTACTTTTTGTCTGGATTCAGATGTTTATTAGCTTTTATTTATATTACAGTCTCATAAACTATGAGTTTTATAGTGCTGTAACAAACTAAAAAAGAGAGCCGTATCTCTCACTTGACAAGGTTTCTTAAGGATAAACTGTCTAATTAAGAAATTATACTTAAATTATTTTTACTTTTAACTTAATAATTAACTACTTGTGGCTCATAATGTGGACTTTTAAATTTAATTACACAATACCACTCAAACTCATGAAGAAGAAGGTGAAGAAGGATTAGTTTCTGCTTTAAAACTTTTGTTTTATATATATTATTATATTCTAAAACTTTAAACTCCAAGTTTTCTAGTAGGTAATATTCAAATTACACACTTCTATTCAAATTACACACTTATAATTTTAGTTCTGTCATTTAATTTTGGAATTAAAGCTTTCTCTACAGCTTCAGGTTAAATGTAGTGTTCTTTTGTGAGTCAGTGCCTGTCAGTACAGAATGTCTAAAATTCTCAGTAACTAGGATTCACAGAGAATTTTGACATTGCAGTTGCACCTGTATTGGAGATTTGGTTCAGAAAATTATCATTTTGATGCAAATTTCCCACTTGTCACCACATGTCACCTTTTGCTTTGCATTATAGACCATCACAGCTGCACACACTGGATCCCTTCCACGGAAAGTCAAGTGGAAGGTATTCTCCACCGGTGAAGAGACATTCAGTCTGTGAGGCCAGTTGCTTTGAAGGAATCCCCTCTCAAGAACATGCAGTGTGGTTTCAGGGCCCTCAGAATTAGCTTTGTTTTGGGGTATCATATCTGTTCTCACCATCTACCCTATCTGCACTGTCTTCTAACACAATCAAATCATTGATGAATTTGAATAATTTGTTAGTAAATTAAATGCACTCAGTTCTAAGATAAGTAATACAGGTTTTAGAAGCTTCTAACTAACAGCACTATTTCTGCACACCCTCTTATCCTTACAGTAAACATGGTTGGTTTTGTGGAAGAGAAAATAGGCTGGCATTTAAAAAAAATTATCCATAAGAGCCGTTGGAGGAGGATAATGTATTTGCCTAGTAAGTGCCTTACTGGTATCAGTAAAACAAATGCCAAACACAAGACAACCCAAGATCCAATTTCAGGCTGGTGGTGTGACTCAGCCCTTCCTCTTTATGTTGCTATTACCTGCTAATTACATGCACATGTCTAAGGGAGGGAGCCCCTTTCCAAGCCAGGCTGTAATTTGCGCTGTCCCCCACCAGATGTCCTTCCCGGGAGCCCTGCACAGCCCCTTTATTTACACACTGGGTAGTTTTGTTACCAGGTGTGACAGGACCAGGGAGTCGTGCCAGGTGTGGTGTCCGGGGTGCCACTTGCGCTGGGGAGGCAGATGGGGAGCGAGGGTGAGAGAGGAAGGCACGAAGCTGGCTGTCCTGCCTACCCAGGCTGCCACCACCTCTTCTAACCAACGCAATTCCCTCGTGCCGTGCCTGCTGCCTGAACGGTGAGCATTGGTCATTTTTTTGTTTGGTTTGGTGGGTGTTGTTTGTTTTTTTTTTTTTTTTTTTTTTTTTTTTTTTTTTTTTTTTTTTTTGTGACAGTGGAAAAATCAGAGAGGCTGCATAACTTATGAAGATGGAAAAGCCCTTTTGTTCCTCAACAGGGTAATGCTGTGGCTGAGGTTTTTCTGGGTCAGTGGAACCTGCACAACCGGTATCTTCATCCAAACTCCAGGTTTGTCTGCAGCACAAGGAACAGGACAGGCACACAAGGACTATAAAATGACCTCTAACAGGCAAGTGAAAGAGCCCTGAGGAAGAAGTGGCTGTGGGCAGTGCGAATCAGCAGAAGTGATTGTGCGCACCTTCATGCACCCACTATATGCTAAGTCTGTAATAAAATTGTCACAGCCCCAGACATGGGCTCTGCCAAGCTTGCACATGCAAAGCTTTCCAACATGCTGCTGCTGTTGAGCGTGGTTTCCTGTTCTGCTGCTGCTTATGGGGGTGAGCCCAGCCTGGGCAAGAGGTCCTTGCTTCACTATGAACACGATTCCAGTGATGCTGTTGACTCCTCTCAAGACACGAGGCTACATGTTTTCACACTGGACTATGACTATGTGCAAATTCCCTATGAAGTTACCCTTTGGATCCTCCTTGCCTCTTTTGCAAAAATAGGTAAGTAGAAAATGGGATCTTAGGTACTCCTAACTTGGAAAGAAGTTTAAAAAATACAGTATAACCAAGTAACTTTCATTCATTTTGTAGCTGGGATTGATTTTACAGTGTCTGTCCTCAAAAGAACAGGTGTGTTCATTACCATGGCTGTGCCAAAATTCCACCTCAGAATGATTCCATCTTACTTAAGCTGACATATGATCTCTAATCTTCAGGTCTCCTGGGCTGTGAGTAGCAAATAGCAACAGAGCTCCCTGACACAGTGCTGTCCATTCATTTTTCTAGTCCTTACAGATCCCAAGATACTGGAATTTGCAACCTGACACAGCTGTAGAAATCACACAAGACTGAGACTTCAAGTGCATTGAATTTTGGGAGAAAGTCTAAAGCATTCTTCCTTTGTATGAGTAAAAGGAAACATTTCCCACTGAGTCTTTGTTTTATGTATTTGCCCCTTAAAGTTGATGTGAAAAGTAATACTGGGGAGAGAGAATGAGAGTTTCTGAGGGTGTGGATCATCTGAGATATAGGCTAAGAATCTTTTGAATACACAGCAATGTATCTGGCTTCTATTAGAGCTCCATGTGGGTATCTGAAAAGGGAAAGGCAACTCAGGGAGCAGCAAGTGCAGTAGGAACTGTAGTTGATACTGCAAAAAAAGGCTCATCATATCATATGCATTTTCATGGCTAGACTGAAATTATTTTGATCATTTAGAATTAATGTAGCAATATCAAATAAATGAAGAAGATGGTAATAATGTGAAGAGTTGCACGTATAAAATATCCCTTTTCTTTTGGCCTTTTTTGTGGGATTTTCAAACTTTTCCTTAGAACAAGCTGGTAGGTGAGAGATGTTTTTCTGGAGGTGGCCCGAAGATAAACATCCTTCCTGTCACAGTTACCCAGCTGGCAAAAGTCATTACCACTATCCATGATTTGTCAGTTTCATTATAGCTGATGCCCTTAATCTGATTCCTATAAATGTCTTCACTGGTAACATAACAATCAAAATTTTCACAAATAAAACTTATTATGGCATCAGAAGAGTGTGTTAATACTAAACATCTTGACCAAATTCTTTATCATCCATAACAGCAGAGGACTTGACATATGGCACATTTACACAATATTCTTGTTTTGAACATGAAATAGATAATTAGAAGAACTGTGTGAAGCCTTTCAGGTGGACCTGTTACTTTTATTGTGAGTTTTCAAATAAATTTCAAATTTATTTTTGATGAGCTGTTAATTTTAAATATATTTGGAAGAAAGAGTTAGTCTGAATAATTTGGTTCCCAGGGAAGAAGATTTCCAAACTGTTAAAGCTTTCAGTGTTTTGTTCAGGTATTATGTTCTTTCTGGATTTCAAGATGCAAGGCTGGGAAACAGTTCCTAGATCTTGAAAGGCAAAACAATCTCCTTACCTGTAAGACTGGAAGAAGTCTATAAAGTGAGTTTTTAAATTAAAAAGCAGATGATTAGAGTTATGATATAAGCATACCTCTTGGTAAAAAAAAGTAGTGTCCTAAAAAATTATTGAAAGTTTCATAAAAATATTATTATGTCCCTTTGCTTTTGAAGACTGATAATTCAAGGGTCACAGAAATGCTGTCGTGGTAGAACCTTCTAGAGCTGCGAGATGAAGGCTGACCTAGCTTCAAGCATGGAGTCACAGACCTTGGATTTAAAGGTTTCTTAGTGTGCCTCAGTCTCATTCTTGTAAATATTTTAAAAAATCCTGACTTTTTAGTACAGGCACATCTCATTCACACTATGATCATACAGCTCCTTGTATAGTGACTAGACAAGCCAGTAGCAGGTGGGCAGTAAGGATTCTTGAAGAATATTTTCTTTCCAAATTGTGGAGCATCATTTCAAAGAAGTTTCTGCTTTCCCAGAACTGGAGCTTAAACTCAGGCATACTTGCTCAGCAATCAGGTGCTGGGCAGCAGGAAGAGAAGAAATTAATGGTCAAACTCTTGCCCTGCTTTAGTGATACGAGTGTGGGAGTGTTTAGTTTTGAAGGGAACAGTATGGCCTCTTTTTACCTTCATAATCCTTAGAGCAAAAGTTGGCTGTGTGAAGACAAAGTGTCCAAACACAGGCAAGACAATTGTCTGACATCAGGTTAATTTAAACTTGAATAATCCCCTAATGTTCTATTCAAGGTTTCCATATCTTTCACCGTTTACCAAGACTCATGCCTGAAAGCTGCATCCTGATTGCCATTGGAGCACTTGTAGGAGCAATCATCTTTGCTTCCCATCACAAATCTCCACCGGTGATGGACAGTAGTATTTACTTCTTGTATCTCCTCCCACCCATTATCCTGGAGGAGGGTTATTTCATGCCAACTCGACCATTTTTTGAAAACTTTGGATCCATTCTGTGGTGGTCTGTTCTGGGATCTCTGCTAAACTCATTTGGGATTGGCCTCTCCCTCTATGGAGTCTGCCAGATTGAAGCCTTTGGCCTGAGTGACCTGAACCTGCTGCAGAACTTGCTCTTCGGCAGCATGATTTCAGCAGTGGACCCCGTGGCAGCTCTGGTAGTTTTTGAAGAAGCCTCCGTTAATGAGCAGCTTTACATGATGATCTTTGGAGAGTCACTGCTAAATGATGGCATAACTGTGGTGAGTTTCTTTCTGCTCCTTGTCTTCCCCTCTTTGGACTTTTGTGGCTTGTAGGGTTACTGGGCACAGAACAAGAACAGCTCAAAGGAGATCCTAATACATTATTTATTTTATGAATACTCCACTCAGTTACACACAAGGGATGTTGATGTATGCAAAAATTGCATCTTCTGTTACCTCTTTCCAAAGCATGTATTTTAGAGCTGCTAGAAGAGGGAAATGTCCACATGCATGTGAGATGTGCTCTTGCATTCACTGAAGTGAACGGATAAGCTACAGCTGATTTTTCTGGTTGGATCAGTGTAGGACCTTGGAATGTTCTTGATATTGTGCAAGCAAATAAATAGAAAATTGTACTGCTTAAAGACTGAAGGCAGCAAGGATAGAAATACAGGAGACCTTGCTTTGTCATATACCTAAGAGGGTCCTGGGGGGGGGGGTGGAGTGGGGAAGCAAACCAGGTGTGGATAGTCTCTGGAGACCACACTCTGTCCTCCAGCCCCTTCCAGAAATTTCACCACAGACCTTACACAGGAATTCCAAATGCCACTAAGAACTTAACATAACTGTTTCGATCAGTAAAAATATTGACATCTGACAAATGTTTGCCTTTTTTCGCTGTCTTGTTATAAATATGCTGAAACAATGTTTCCTGAATAAGAGAGATTTATTTGGTTGGTTGTGCGTTTGCTGTTGGTGACTTTTTGTTTTTAATAAGAGAAGAGTGTTTTTACAATTCTTCTTTTGCTAGTATTTTTCCCCCTTATCTCATTAGTTCTGCTAAAATTGGAGCAACCTGAAATTCTAGCTGTAAGCAGAAGTGACAAGAACATTTAAAACACATGCTTTTCTAGGAAGAAATATCAAGCAGGAAGTTTATTGTTCAGAAACCAACAGGACAGCTCATGTGGTACAAGTTAACAGCAGGTTAAGGAGTTTCACTAGATAAGATCTTTGCAGAATTTAAATCACAGGAATCTAAAACACATAAAAACTATTCAGATACTGCTATACATGAGGTACAGCCCAACTCAGACTTGTAAAATCTGTACAGAGTTCACTGCTTCTGAAAGGCTTCATGGGAGAAGTGCAGTTTATGAGTACTGAGAAATGAAAAAGGAACAAAGTAACTTCTTGCAGGCACAACCCAAGGATAATAAATCATTTCTCTTGGGGATCAGAGATACAGGGCTGATGTAGAATTAAGGGACAAGTTATTTAATTTACTTTCAAACTACTTGAGTTCTACAGTCATGACAGAAAAATCCCCAATGCATCTATCTCTTACACTTGTCTTTTTGCTTCCTTCAAATACTGATCTCAAAAATGTAATACCTCTTTTACACACTGGAAGAGCTTGTTTCATGGTTTTTTGTTTTTTTTTTTTTTTTTTTTTTTTTTTTTTTTTAATGGGTTCACTACCTTGCCTTTGCTTTTCCCCCAGCTGTTTATCATGTGGGTCCAACTCCTGACGGTATTTACCTGAGCTTTCAGTAAGGATCCTGATAAAATACAAATGTGCATTGACAGAAAGCCTTTTAAAACAGAGGATTTAGGCACTCCTCAGCCCTGAGTGTGTTAGTAAAGGAGATGAAAGGGCTGTACATGGGATATGTTGGGTGCACCACTGAGAGTTCCCATTGCCCCACACTCTCATCTTTGGGGCTCATCTCAGAGCAGTTGTGTTGCCATCACTTCATCAGCTCCTGCTACTACACCTCTGCATCAACCACCATTAACCCCCTTTCTGGGTATTTGAGCTTTCAGAATCTCTGCCTGGCTTCATGCTCAAGAAGACTGAAGTATTTGTCTCCTGAATGGAGTCCAGTAGGTGACTATGTCCTCTCTGATATCCCACTCACTTTTTTTTCCAGGACTTTAAAACTACTTATCTCAGGTGTCTTCTCTTACCTTTTCCTTCTCTTTTTCTCTTAACAGTTTCACTTGAGTTAACTCTAAGTGAAAGAGATAATATCACCCAGATATATTAAGCATACATATTTTTTTTATTGTTTAAATACAAATATCCCCTGGTTCTCTCCAGCCTGCTTATCAGTTTGAACCTTTTTTTCACCAGCAGGAAAAACTGGTATGAGTTTTGTTGAACTTGTGTAATACATTTGGGGCAACAATAGCTCTGTCTCCTATATTGAGTTCAATATGCTGACATATAAAAAAATATTGCAAAATAACAGACTTAGACAGTTGAATTATAATTATAATCTAGAAGTTCTGACTTTGCCTTAAGGGGATGGGAGAAAGGTGGATGATTTACTCTTTTTACCCATTGGTACCTTTTCTTTTTTTCCTCTGTAGGGCCATGTCTGTAGATGGAAAAAAAGAAGGTTTCAAGTCCCGTTAATTCTTTCCCCAGTTATTTCTGAGTGGACTGTTACCAACCAAATAGTTCAGACAGCATCAGGGCTGGACCTAGGACACATCATACATTAGTGGAATTTCAAAGCCCTGTTCAAAAAAAGTATTGTAAATCCAGTGCAGATCTTATTCAAGACTGAACTCAGGTGGAATACCCTGATTTTGCTGTGAAGTGTTTCAGCCATCTGAAGCTCTGCTCCCACATATGCACAGACAATTTTGTTTCTAAACAGGAGCTGAGCCGCCAGTATGAGTCAGGAAATGGAATATTCCCTGACTGCTTCATCTCTGAGGCTTGATTTTAGAAATACTGAGAACACCTATATGTCATGCTGTACTCAAAATGAGTGGCACTGGCTGTATTCTCTAATGGAGCCCTCTCTTCTTTGCAAGCAGCAGAGCAGTTAAATCTAATACATGTTGAGGACTGAAGTAAAATTACTTTTTTATTTGAGGAGATTTGAAATTGCTTTTTTGATGTCACTGACAAAGACTGACCACTAGTTTAGATGCTAGATAGGATGGTAGAGATATTCTCTGCTCCTGCTGTAAAAGTTGTTCCACTCTCTTTAGAGGAAAACCAACTACAGTAGTCAGAAAAAAATAGCAGGGTGATAAGAAAGAATTATCAAGACAGCCTGTGTTGGTGATGAAAGCAGTCCTTCCACTGCTTCTGCTGTGGATTGTGTGTGCAGTAGTTGTACACAGACACCTGGAGCATGGAGCAGTCCCTGGGGAGTCCCCTGTGGCAACAATGTCACACTCTCTGTTCTTCTCTGTGGTTCTGAGAGCTGCCCAGAGGTACAAAATCCTCTCCAAGCAACCCAAATCATGATGTTCTCAGAGTTGCTACGTGAGACTGCTATCAATCCATCTCTTCTTTTTGTGTGAACAAAAGCCTCCTAATCTGTTTCAGGCTTTCCTAATATATAAAGAATTCTAGTAATCCATTTACTGGCACAAACACTGCAATGTAACTTAGCTGGGCCTTCCTTATATGACACAGTGCAGGTTGTGATACAGAGCAGTTTACTCCCACAAAGCATTTTACAGAAAAAAAAAAAAAAGAAAGAAAGAAATGATGTCATTTATATTTACATAACTTTCATTTTTTAATGCCAAATCAGTTAAACCATATGGATACTTTAGGAACTAGAAAAGTGAAAACAATTCTTAAGTCATTTGCTGAGACTCTTTCTTCATAAGTCAGCATAGAATCGTGTTGTGGTATCATTTATAAGGAATCAGAAGTCTTAGGAAGAGGTCAAAGTCTACAAGAAAGGGAAACAGAGAGAAAAAGGCTCTGAAATTAAAAGCTATAGGGTAGGTAGGTTGAGGTTTGCTTACTGTGAAAACATGAACCCTCTTTTCCTTATCTGCCGCTGAAGAGACAAATTTCATACACTGGCATTAGGAAAAAGAAGTTCTGGGTATTTTCTTAAAATAAATATTTTGTTTGGCTTTGTCTGTCTCCCAGAGCTATTAGCAGTGAGCCTACTGGAGAACAGACTGTGTGACAGCTCAAGGTTATATGTCCCCAGCAGCAACTTAAGACTGGATAATAGTTGAGCAGTAATTATTATCCTAATGAGCTTGACTCTTCTACCTGCAAATACCTGCTTTAGTCTTCTTAATAACCTTCTGGAATTAACTAGATGAAGAAGAAAGACCAAAGGAAACCATAAAATGCAAATTACTTTGGTCTATTTGTTGTTTTTGAACTAATGCTTTAGTGCAACAGCTTTGGGGAATTGGTTGTTGTTTCCCAAACTCTCTTCGAAACTGAAAGGTGACTTTCATGTGTTACACACTCACTGTAAACACATCTGACAGGACTTAATATTAACTGATTGTCAGCAACTTCGAAAGCCTTTTTATTACTACAGCACTCTGGAAATTTTCTATTACTTTCTAAAAGATGAATGCAAGGGAAATATGCTGAAAATTTTTCATTAACAGTTTCTGCAGAATAGAAATTATTGATAATAGAAGTTTGGTAAAGTTTTCTGCTCTAAGATATTACCTTTACAGACCAAATTATATAATATATGATATAAAATTATAATTTTCATTAAATTGAATCTTTCCTCTAATCTGATATTTTCTTTTAGTTTTTGCAATTTCAAGCTTTCTAGTAAAAATGTGTATATGTGCAGGGTCTTTAGAACATTTAGAGTGTCACAGCATTTGCCTCATACTTTGAGGTTGTTATCTGGGGAGGTGGTTAAATGGCATCAGACTCCAAATATATTATGATAGAGAGGCTTTTTTAACCTAGCTAGAGACAGTATGAAACTGAGGCTACCATCTGCCTTCCCAGTCCCATTCCTAGGGATGTTTTATGATTTTTATGTGTCAAGGGCTATTGAAAAACATGCAACATTCCCATGTCGATCTGACGAAATTTGTCAAGTCTACTGACTGATCCTACAGATGAACTAAATGGGATTTAAATCAAATATGTGACTCTTAGTCCCTGCCCTGCCCCAATCTGAGTCAGACAGAGAACATGGAGGATAGAGCCTGGGGTTTTTAAAGTACCCAGGTGAGCTTTTAACTTCTTCTACAAAGACCAAAAATTAAATTAACTGTCAAACAAACCAAAGAAAGAGAGTATGTTTTATTATTCAATGGCATGTAGTCCCCCAGTAATTTACTACTATTTCACAGCCATTTACCCTTTTTTATTTTTCTCTTTTTCAGAACACTTAATGGACTCTTATTCCTGAGACTTGTTAAGAACCAGCTGAGATTTCAATTGTTGATCTGCCTAAAGCAATTTCTGGCACACACAGACACTAAACACACACACTTATTTCACCTATGAATTAGGTGCCAGGTTCAGAAAGATTCCTAACTGCTGTTTTCTTATTTTCACATGTAGGTTTTATACAACATCTTCATTGCCTTCACCCAGATGCACAGGTATGAAGAGATTGAATCCATTGATGTCTTTGCTGGCTTTGCTCGCTTTTTCGTAGTGGGGCTGGGTGGAGTCTTGTTTGGCATCATATTTGGATTTATCTCAGCATTCATGACTCGTTTCACCCACAACGTCTCTTCAATCGAACCCCTGCTGGTCTTCATGTTCAGCTACCTCTCCTACTTGTCTGCTGAAACCCTTTACATCTCTGGCATTTTGGCGTGAGTATTCCTTATGGCTTTTTGGACGATCTCATTGAGGAACTGGCATTGTTTTGTGGTAGTTTGCTCAAGATTGGTACAACACAGGCATTCAGTCTCTGGCTTAGAGAGGCAGTGCACAGCTCCTTAGAGATCTGTAAAATGCAGTGGTAGCTAGGAAAAGCAAACCCACAGTCATTGTAGGCACAGATATGCTACTGTGGAGCGTTGGCAAAAGTACTGCAGGTTGTGGGTAAAGTGGCCAGTGCTGCTATCTTCTGTCTGCTATCTCTGATAAGATCAGCAGCAGGAGAGAATGATTTCATACTGCAACAGTTTATCTGTATTTATTTCTAAGCAGCTTCACCATCAGATTCTAAAAGAAACCTAAAGCGATGGGTATGGAAAATATGGGAAAGCACATCTGAGTTCTTTGTGAACATCAGCCCTAACACAATTCACTGGAATTATATTACATTTGAACAGCATCACTGGGATTGAAACTGAGGAAAAACCAGGCAAAAGAGAACATCACCTACACATGCATACTTATAGCCATGTATGTGAATATTGACAATCTTTTTTTTGTGATCAGGATAGCTGACACTGCTATAATGCTGGAGACATGGTCCTCAAAGTATATGAAGGTGTGCATGCCTGCTGCAGAGAGAAAGCTGTTAGGTTTTTGACTGGAGTAAATTCAGGAATGGTGAGAATTCTGGGAAGGAAAGAGGATGGCAGCAGGAAAGGAGCTGGAAGAGAAAGGAAGGAACAGGGATGGAAGTGAGGCACTTAAGGAGAAAGCTGCTGGCAAGTGACTTACAAGGATACCACCCAAAAGAGCCCACCTGCAGGGTGCAGCATTAAGAGATGGAGACCTGATATTGCTAAAGGCTCCAGCTGGTGCTGCTGGCTGCCGCAGGCTCAGTGCACAGCTGGTGTGCAGCAGCAGCTTTGCATGGCCTCTACTGGCTCTGACCTTTCATGATGGGCCTTGGATAACCTCGTGTTGCAGAAAGTGATTCCCTTTATAGAGGACGAACCAGTTTAAACTTAACAAATACAAGTATATGGCTGCTGATGTCCAGACAGGCGCATTTACTCACCTCAACTTGTGAATCTCTGATTTCACAGAATCACAGAATGGTTTGGGTTGGAAGGGACATTTAAAGGCCATCTAGTCCAATGCCCTGGCAATGAGCAGGGACATCTTCAGCTAGATCAGATTGCTCAGAGCCCCATCCAAACTGCCCTTGAATGTTTTTACATGTGGCATGTCTACCACCACTCTGAGCAACCTCTTCCAGTGCTTCACCACTCTCATTGTAAAACAGTTTTTCTTTATATCTAGTCTAAATCTACCTGAATCTTTTAGTCTAAAGCTATGATCCCCTGTCATATTGCAATAGGTGCTACTAAAAAGTTTGTCCCCGTCTTTCTTATAGGCCTCTTATAATGTCAAAATACTGAAATAAGGTGTTCCTGAAGCCTTCTCTTCTGCAGGCTGAAGAACCCTGGGTTAGTCAGCTTCAGAGCAGAATTGCCTTTATAAAAATAACCTTTGCAGGATGGTCCTGGGAAGCAGTATTTGAATATTTAAACATATTAAACAAGTAGTTAGACTGGATATAGATTATCTTGAGTAATTAGACAAAGCAGATGAGTCTTGTTATTATGATTTCTATACCAAACACATGTGCTCAGATTGAGGTGACTGGCAACTTTAGTTGAGCAGGATTAGATGTAATTTACAGTGAACAGTAAAACCATATGGACCATTTCTAACCTGCACTGCCCGAAATATTGCTTCCCCACCTATTCCTTGCACAAGACTACATAGCTCTTTATTTCTTTCACTTCTTATTTTCACTAGAGTTCTGAAATTATTAGTAAATTGAGAATGGTAATATAATTTGGAATTATTATTCTTACTGCTTCATTAAGGAAATTATTGCTTGTTTTAGAGATGGGAACTTATTGTCACCTTTCTGAATTATTGAGGTTCATTCATTTTTCACTTGGATCATGAAAGTCTATTATGTATGTATAGCTGAAAGCCAACAGTATTAATCATTAATGCCTAATGGCCTTGTCTTGGAGTGTCCTTGCACATGCTAAATGACTCAGCTCCACCAGGATACCCTTGAGATTTCTTCAGTGGAAATTAAATGAACTGAAACTGGAGGAAAGTTATTTAATGAACAGTCATCATTCTCTGAATTCACGAGTTTGGAAAATTATCATTACAAGAGGCCCCCTGAGACTACAATCATATCAGTAGAAACTAGATAGGCAATGGAATATGTTACTAGCATAGCACTCAATCTATGTGCTACCTGTGGAAAATGCAGAGGGGAAAAGGAAATCCCCTTCAGTAGCGCTGATCAAAGATTGCTGCTCCATGTGATTGTCACCAGTGTCTGTGGTGGGTGGCTGCTGATGCCTCTGACTAATGAAGGCTCTAGTCTTCATTAACAGTGAGGAAGTGGAAAACACCCCTTTGCTTCCTCAGCCACATTCCACACACCTTAGGCAACTACAGTGAGAAAGACACCTCTTTAGGATAACTGAATTTTCTCCTGCTGTACCACAATGGGGTGCTGTGGTTGGAGAGTCCTGAAGCTTGCCCTGGCACTGCTGATCTGCCAGGAAGCCATGGCAGCTTTGGCCCTGGCACGGGGCTACCATGCACTGCCACCTCAAGGGAGAATATCACCAAGAGGCAGGTCATGTCTCTCTAACTGATCCACCTGTAGGCTGGTACAAAACCAACCTGCCTGTTGTTTGAGACAAATATTTGGTGCTTGGTGGCTCCATGTTAGGCATTCAGGATAAAATGGACTTTGAGCTGGAATGTGATACCCTCCCTTCCTTGTCAGAAAGGCTGACTAGTTTGCTTCCTTTATCCTATATGTAAAACAGATCTGTAAACCTGAATGAAGAGGCTTTTCTATCTAACAAAATAGCTAATATTACTGAAGAAATAAAATGCTTCTTGTTATGATGACGGTCAGAATCTGGTGGTGGAGAGTACAGATAATAATGGCTGATGTTGTCTTTAACTGAAAAGAAGAACAGGTTGTGGCTGATCTCTGATGTTTTGCTTGATACAGGATGACAGCATGTGCAGTGACAATGAAAAAATATGTGGAGGAGAATGTTTCCCAGAATTCTTATACCACAATAAAATATTTCATGAAGATGCTAAGCAGCATCAGCGAGACTCTGATTTTTGTGTTCATGGGAGTGTCTACAGTGGGGAAAAACCATGAATGGAATTGGGCCTTCATTTGCTTCACTCTGTTCTTCTGCCTCATTTGGCGGACATTGAGTAAGTCAACTTTTGCAGACAACCTTCTCTACACCTATGAGAAAAACTCTTCGGCACAAAATTTTGTTAGAAAAGTCTGTGGGGACTGGCACAGCTGGTTTAACAACAAATTTACTAGTATATATTAGAACAAGCAAATTTCACAAATTTGCACAGAAGAAAAGGGGAAAAAAGCCCCACACAAATCTGAATGCCAGTCTCCAAGCACAGACTTTACATTTAGGTGAAAATGGATTATTTTAAAGGAAAATTAAAATATTGTCATGCTTATAGAGATGTTTATATCTTAATTTACTATATGCCTTGGGTAAGTGGGCCTCATAATGATTTTACCACACACTGTCATTAATTTATTAATTAGATAATGTGTATCATCACACTTCCAGTGCTATAACACTACAGGTCCTGGCTGGGAGTGCTGGAGGCACAGGAAAAGAGGGAAGGTGAAAATTAGCACTGATAGGTAACTGAACAGGGACTTATACCACATGTGGGCCGACAGCACTATGCTACTACCCCTCACAAGTCAAGTCTAACGTTTTAAACTGTTAAAAACGAGTGCCCATTTGAAATTACTCCATTTTTGCACATGGTATATCCCATTCCTGCAAAGGTGTCCTACTCCCTACCTGTGGGACGGATTCATCTAGCATGGGCAGGCAGTTTATAGATAATGTCAGACAAGTTGTGAGACACAGTTTCTCATCTTCTCCTAATGTCCAGGATGGGTTGAAACTAATGCTGAAAAGGGAGAAGGAATAAGAAGGCTGGTGGTTGGTATTCTGGAGGTGGTAGCAAAAAGAAAGTAATTACGTATTTTCTTGCTGTATCTGGACCAAATGTGGCCTCTAAATTTTTAAAGGCTTGCTTTTCATTTTGAAATATCCTTCTAATTAAGACAGAAACAATGCTCTCCTGATATAAAAGCTGTTTTCCAGCCACATGTCCATCCTTCTCTCAGACACCAAGGGGAGTGCTAGAGCTTTCCAGAGGAAGGACAAAACATTTTCTGTGAAATTTGTGGGTTAAAATGATTTCATCATTTTCTCTGAAGCTTGAATAAAGTAAAGAGAAGTGGCCTGAGGTTGATACCTTACAGAGGCTGTTTCACTCTGAGTACCTGATGCCTAGCATAGTTATAAGTAGCCAAAACAGGTCTTGCATAAAATGATATCCAGCAACCTATATAAGAGGATGCTGTTACTGGCTTTACCTCTAATAATCTGAGTGTATCAGTGACAGTTGTGTAAAATAACACCAGTTATCAGCATTTGTCAGCTTTTGTGTCAGTAATTTAATGGTTTCCACATAAAACATAGGATATATATTTATTGTGGAGGATGAAGAAGTGAATCAAACAAATTGCTAAAATTACGCTACAAAGGAAAGTTGCGCAGATCACAGATCATTTTATTTTTAATAAAATTTAAAATTAATAAAATAAAGTTTGAGAAATAAACAAAGAATTAGAGACACAATAAGCCCGAGGATTAAAATTTAAAATGCTATTATTCTTTGTCTTTCAGTGAGCCTGTCCACAGGACTTGTTGGTAAAGCATTGCTCAAACACTTTGGGCAGATACTGTGCAGAAAGCAGGAAACATTGCAAGGCAAGGCACAGGGAAAACTCTCATCCAGTTGTTTTTCTTTTCTCCAGAACACTTTGGAAGAAACTATGCAACATAAGAATAGGAAGTAAATATTTTTCCCTAATCTCTTCTAAACTGCATTAATGAATTTAAATCCTGAAGCTGATAGGAAGTGTAGTATTCTATAGGAGATATTTCACACAAGCCAAATTTAGCGGGTGGTCAAAGAGAAGCTACAAGAAACCCAACCAGAAAAAAATGTGGGCTGTCAACAGTTTCCCAAGCCAAGACATTGTTTTGCTTTTCATATTTAATGTTTTCTTTTTCTCCTTGATTAATAATAGCTGTGGGTTTTTTTCCCTTCCTAGGTGTGTTTGCTCTCTTCTACATCAGTAACAAGTTCCGAACATATCCCTTCACCTTCAAAGACCAACTCATTATTTCTTACAGCGGCCTCCGAGGAGCCAGCAGCTTTTCTCTTGCATTCTTGCTTCCAGTGAATCTTTTCCCCAGAAAAAACCTATTCATCACTGCGACCATTGTGGTTATATATTTCACTGTGTTCATCCAAGTATGTATATTTCTTAATGGATAACTTTCCTGTAATAGAGGTGACTGAAAGCTTCATAGTGAAAATTGCATTGAGTTCACTCTTAGTCTAGGACAAGTTATTGCATTTCAGGGCCAGATTTAGCACTGTACTGTGTAATTAGCCTTTTTAAGAGCTTTTAGGTAATACAAAAATTCTGTATTGAAAACATGTATCTTTTAAAATATTCAGGGGAGAGGGTACTTGGTGTCCAAAATTATTTATGTTCATTCTACATGCATTTCCTGATGCTTCTAATTTAAGAAGTATTTTAGCTTTACCTTTCAGTACTGATTCATTCTTTATTTGTGGTGTATCTCAAACTGACCAGAAAACAGTACGTCTGTTCTGTGACAGATTTTGAATTTTATACTTTTATCTTTGTCTGTCTTGCAGACAAAATACAAATATTTTGAAATCATTTGTAAAAGAATATTTAAAAAAATAAAGTGAATAAGTTGCATTTGTAAGTATAAATGTTTACTTTAGATATCTGAGTTATTCCACCTGGCTTACTGCTGTACCTGGAAGACCTGAAATGTCTAGAGAACTCACATCCCATATTTTGCATTTTCCAATACCAAGGCCTCAGATCCTCTAGGGTGCCCATGGGGCACTATGCACTTTATAAGTAAGACACTTAAGTTCCACTAGAACGTTTCAGAAAAAAACAATTTGTTTCTATTTTCTCTTTTAAAATGTTTTTCTGTAGCAGTGCAGTAAAGAAATAGGAAAAACTGAAAACGGTTTTTAAGTGAAAAACCCCTGGAATGTTTAATTCTGAAAATATTGAAGTAAACGGTTTTAAGACTTCAAGACCTCACAAAGATAATTTTTCTTTCAAATAAGTCCTCTTTTGAAGACAACTGCCAATGAGTCAGTTACTTTACATTATTAGAATATGCTAATAAATAGAATTTCACTTAAACTGTCTTTAAAAAGTTTTTTTATTTTTAATTCTCTTCTGTAGCTCTCCATGTAAATAATGGTTCATTTCTGTGCTAAGACACAGCTTTCTTAACTGATAAAATTATCCCCTTTTGCTTTCTTTCTATTTTTGCCTAAAAGGTAATTAACAATTTAATTCATTATTCCAAATGCAGGGAATCACAATTGGACCACTGGTCAAATACCTGGATGTTAAAAAGACGAACAAAAAGGAATCGATCAATGAAGAAATTCATGTGCGAGTAAGTTTTTTTATATCAGTGACCAGTATCCCAAAAAGAAAAGAACAGGTATTCCAAAAGAGCTGGAAAGAGGGAGGGACTTGGAAACCTGGTATTCAGTGCATTTGGATGCTCAATGCTTTTAAGAATGTGTGGAGGTTACCTAGGCGTAATTTTCTAAGATCTTGCATTTCATTTATATTCATATTTGCTATCATATTATACTGTCATCCACAAGTGTCGTGGTGTAGTAGGTCCCTTATTTATTGGTACTTTGACCATGGGAGGACAGAAAGAGAAAGGTAATGTTTACCAAAGCACTCACTGTCCTTCCTAGCTGGATTAGACAGAAACATTTGTTGCCGTCTTTTGACCAATTCTAGACACTGAAGCCTTAAAAGTCTTCAATCCAGATTTATTGAACTGAATCAAACCATTGAACTGCAAACTTAGTTCCAAGTTATTCTGAGTAGTGATCTTTTATCCTCTCAAACATTTACTTCAGTTCCCAAATTACTATTATATAAAATAACAGGAAGTTGTTCAATCTGATTTAACACTACAGAAAAGCTATGTACATTTTTTCATTTCACAACAGGGAAAACGTTTTGAAATTAGCAGAAACACTGTGTCTTACAATGAAACACAGCAGAGACATAAGCTGCAGAGACATTCACAAAATTAGAACATCTGAACTGATTTTGAATTTAAAGTGAATTTAATTCTTACTATCTGAACCTTTACAATGAACCTTGAAGAGAACTTGCATTTTAAAGCACCCCTTATGACAATATGTCTGTAAGAATTGGCCTTTTTCTGTCTCTATAGTGCTGGACAAGCACAAAAAAAGGACTGAAAGTAACAGAAGGTAGCAGTGACCAGTCTCATGTCATTCTGCAAATCCTCAGATTCACCTTACCTGTCAAGGTGAAGGTGTTGGTATGTGGCCCTGTGCCTCTCTCAGGAAAGCCACACATGAGGGGGGGAAACTTGGAGGGGAAACAGAACCAAGAATTTATATTTTGGGTTCAGTAGACAAAAATGACCCGACAATTTTTTGCATCCATCAAAACACTGCTACTGCAGAAAAGCTGCCACAGTGACATCTTTGCCTTGATTTTTAGAGGAATGTAGGTGCTTTCAGAATTAACTTATATGTTCCAAAAAAAAAAAAAAAATCTCAAAATCATGTCAATAAGTGTGTATTTGTGGTAACATTCTTTTTTCATAATGGCCACTTAAAATGTTTCCATGTTTTTTTCTGTAGTTGATGGATCACTTGAAGGCTGGTATTGAAGACATTTGTGGACATTGGAGTCATTATCAGCTGAGAGATAAGTAAGTATCTCTTATTGCAGCCTAATATAATAAAATAACTGATCTATCATGTAAAATATAGTAGGTAAATAGAAGAGGAAATCATGTGGGGTCATGTGCTGTATCTCTTTTTAGAAACTGGACTCCTGAGTAACCATTAACTCTTGAGAGTGCAATGCTCATCCATTACCTGCTAAACTGGATCTGCATAAGCAGAAAATAGCCTTCAGAAAGAAAAACATAGCATGGGAACTCATGTTGCAGACATCAGACTGTGCAGAGCCTTTGTATAAATCTGAGATCCCAGGAAACGCTTCTTTAACTCTGGATTTGGAACATAAGCTACACATGGTGTCAGTGCTTCACTGACTTTTGCTGCAAGCCTCCACAGCAAAAAGGATCTCTTGCTGGTAGTAGAGAATCATTAATAAGTAGTCACCTGTCTTTAGAGGTATTTGCATTCATTAACATCTAAAATAAGAGTGCTGAAGGGAGGGTTTGAATTGAAACAGCCACTAACACAAGCAGATACTCTCAAGCTAGTCTCTACTCAGGAATGCAGGGCCTGCATTGTCCCTTCCACAAGCACAATGAAGTGGTTTTGTGAAGCTTTGCAGCTCTTCCAAGCTCTGCCCAGAAGAGACAGACCTGCTGTTCCTTTTACCTTTTCCCTAAGGGAGTCCTGTGGACATGTTGGCCACCACCACAGCATGTGAACGGAAGTAGGGAAAAGGCTGATTTTTCTTTTCCCCAAACATCGTATTATGATGCCATGGGCTAAAAGTTATCCCTAGTTCTGCCTACGCTTCTGTACTGTCTGATCTTTCTGCATCAGATTCCAGTAATCCAGCCAAGGGTGTCTGCTGGGACATGTGGCAAGTCCTTCCAAGTTTCTCCCTATGGAAACCAGAAACTCAGAGGGGGAAGAGGATGACTAGACATCCAATTCTTGTTCCAGTGGGGAGTAATGATATAATGTACTAGTGCATACCCAGAATCTAAAATGTCTTCCTGGCTCTGAGCACAGAGATAGCTTTAGGACATCCATCTGCTGGGACCACACCACTTTGCAGCCAGCAAACCAAACAAATCTCTGCTGGAGCAGTAAATCCATTGAAATAGCTGCATTTACACATATCTGTGAGTAAATGCTATCCATTTGTCCCATATCTACCTGATAGTTCTGAAAAGAGAATTTTCTCTGAACTAGCCATAAATGTAGTGTTTTGGTTCATGGACAGATTAAAAAAACAGTGTCTGAGGACATTTAATATAAGAAGATTGTATTAAAAAGTATTTCCTGTACTTTTGTATGCAACTTTAAAGTTGTGTACAGAATTAATTACCTAAGCAATGACAATCCAGGAGGCTTTTTGTTACACAGAAAAACATAAAGAGCTGCAATCCCCGTGCAAATATTTGTGTACTTTCCTCTGCTATTAATGAATAAAAAAATGGCCTTTGCTAAGGAAAAAAAAGATACAAACCCTGTAGTGCTTTTCCCAGCATCGTGGAGCACCTTACCTTGCTGCGGTAAACTGTTCCTTTGAAAGAAACAGAACTGTTGCTCTGCTGAAGATCTGCTGTTGTTCTGCTAAATGTCTGCCTGAAAGCATGTACCTGTTCCAAGGCACCCACACACATTCACATTCAAATTATGCCACACATTAGCAATATTTTACAATCTGCAGCATGCAAGCACATAGTATTTTGGGGTCCTTTCAATTTCTCTGTTATTCAGCATACAAAGAAATGTATTTTCTCTGCTCTAATTGTCAGGATTCAAAATTATCAGCAATGTAATGGGCCCTAACTACTGTAACTGCTGGGCCACTTAGAGCCTCATTGGTGGCTGGCTGAATAGGCCAGGATTACAGTAAGAGCAGCTGCTGCTGTTATGTCCTTCTATAATACAACATTTGTACAAAAGCATGGAGACTGGCCGTATTCTTTTCTGACAAATGTGGCAGTGTAATATGCAAACATACACGCAGCCCTCTTTTTTGCTCTGATTGCAGCTTGTTTCTTTCTTTTGTCTAGCGGGCTCTGCAATCTCTGTGGACCAGCAGACTATGCCAAATATCCCCCTAAAGGTCTCTGCTCACCAGGCCTTCAGGAGTCCACAGGTGCCTTTAATTTGTATTCAGTTTCCACCACTGAATTGTAGATATATGCATTTGAATGAAGATCAGCTTGTACTGCAGAAATGAAAACATATTTCCTTTTCATCGCTTTGATTTTGGTATCTCTTTTGCAGATTTAAGAAGTTTGACAATAAGTATTTGAAGAAAATTTTAATTCGGGAGCACCAGCCCAAATCCAGCCTTGTGTCATTGTACAAAAAGATGGAGATAAAATTGGCCATTGAGATGGCTGAGAGTGGCATGAAAATTTCAAAACCATCCACTACTTCTTTACAGTGAGTACCAACCTCCTGACCCTTTGCAGAGTAGGGACAGGAGAACAGGGACAAAAATGAGGAAGTACCCAATGCATTCCATTACTTAATTGAAATGTAAGAAAAAAGAAGACAGTTATGAAAAGAGAAGGTGCAATTTGGTGTTCATCATATTAGTTCATCATATTTTCACTCAGAGAGTGAAAATTAAAATAATGGACATTTCCTGTTTCTTTTCCATGATGGGCAGTCCTGAAGAGGAATCTTGAGTCAGGAACAGAAGCCACTCTGGTTGCTTTAAGTCACAATAGTGGCTCAAGACAGATGTATTTGATAACTTACCTCACCAGTGGGTTTTGTTAATCCCTGCCAGGTGCTGAGAGACCTGCAGGATAGCTTAGCATACAGGTCCTGACTCCATTGCCCCAGTCACAATTTTTTGCTGAGAGCAGATTTCTTTGTAGCATTTGCAGCTTTTGCTCCTCCTGTTAAACACTGAGAGCAGCCTGCCAAGAATGACTTGAGGATACTTGTGGTGGAAAATGCTGGACATGAACTGTCAATGTGCACTCACAGGCCAGAAAGACAACCATATCCTGCATCAAAAGTAGCATCAGCAGTTTGTGGGAGGGGATTCTCCCCTGCTACTCTGCCCTTGTGAGACCCTACAGTGCTGTGTCCAGCTCTGGGGTCCTCATTACAGGAAAGACATGGACCTGTTAGAGCTGGTCCAGAGGAGTGCCACAAAGATGATCAGAAGGCTGAAGCAGCTCTCCAAGGAGACAGAGAAGGCTATGGGAACACTTGTTTGCAGCTTTCCAGTACTTAAAGAGGGCTTACAAGGAAGATAGGAACAGACCTTTTAGTAGACTTGTAGCAGTAGGACTAGGAGAAGGTAGGTTCAGACTAGGTACAAGAACTTTTCTATTATGAGGGTGGTGAAACTCTGGAACAAGCTGCTCTGGGAGGTGGCAGATGCCTCGTCCCAGGAAACATTCAAAGCTGGCTGTGATGGGGCTCTGAGCAACCCGACAGAGTTGAGGATGTCCCTTGCTCATTGTGGGGGGTTTGGAACCAGATGCAAGGCATTCTATGATTCTACCAAACAGTAATGCCACTCGGCATCAGACAGACCAGGGGACAAAACTGGTGGGATCTCCAGAGGGAACTGAGGGAAAAACCCTCTAGGAGAAAAGTTGCACAAATCTTCCATCCTGCATACTATTACTGATGTGCATGTATTTACATGCCTTGCAACACACTGTCCAGAGCACAGCTATTGCTGCAGGCATTTGCTTCCATAATTTCTTTCCTGGGTTCTTGCTGACCACTGTTGCTGCAGTTGCCTGCTCTTTTCTGTTGCACCCTGAAACCACTCTCCATTTTGCAGCAGCTTCTGGTAGGGTCTAGCATATTACCTTTTTTGAATGATGATCTCTCCCAATAATAGAAAATCCAAACATCAACTGGATATTACACTAAAATCTTGCTTAAAACTCTGGCTTAATCATGTCATGATCAATCTGCTTGTACTGATGTCAACGGGCAGTGTAAGACCTGCATTCTCTCTAAATTTAGAGACCCTTTTCTCTCTAAATTATTCTTTGCTGAATGCATGATATTAAAAAAAACACTGCATGTATGTCAGGCTCCTTTCTGTCTGCTGTAATCCCTTAACCATTCTGAGCCAAGAGAAAATGTGCAAGACTGATAGACAATCTATGGCAATCAAACCACATCCCTCTTCTTTTCTTGAGGGAATGAGAAAATAAGGCAAATTACTCCAGCATAGTTCAGAAATTTTCTCCTGAGCTGAGAGTTTAGATTGAAAAATATTCTTTAATAAACAGCTGATATGATGGACTGATTTTTGCCATCTCTACCCTGGCTATAATTGAATTTTGCTGTGCATCAGCCTCTGATGAGAAAGCCTTTTCAAAAATGAAGTGTCAACTTCAGAAAAACAGCCTGTGGCTCAAAACCATTATGATCTTGCAGGCTGTGAGAGTGTTCTAGGAAAATACACCTTTCCCCACCTCTGTTCATTGATGAGTGTCTGCTGTTGAGCACTGCAGGAGACAGGATATTGAGCTAGTTGGTGGATCTTTGGTCTGAGCCAATACAGCAGTTCTTGTTGTATTTCCCCACAGCAATTAAATGAACCTGTGTAAAAGATCTCTAAATGTATTTATAAATTGTCTGATTCTTGTCATTGATTCAGCGCGTACCTGAAGTCCCTGTCTTCAGTGAAGATACAAAACTTTGGCCATAAACAACAGAGGATTTGAAATAAAATTCCAATGTATGGCATGTAAATCATTATTAGCAGTGCCAGAGTACTGAGAAAGCTCTCACTCACACTTCTGATCAGTTTTTTGCAGCCTTTATGCACACAAGGAGATTTACTTTATAAGAATCAAAGCAGATCTCCAATGCTGTGAATTAGAGAATTGCATTCATGCTGGTGTGATTCCTGCAGGTGGAGTGGGTGTCCAATTTACAGTAAGTATTTCCAGTGTGCAGTGAGCAAATTTGCCCATGGATTGTGCAACAAAGAATCCACACTGGAATGAAATCAGAGCATTAGGTTACGATATTTTGGAGAATATAAGCCTTATAAATAAGGATGGAAATGGCAAACATGGAGTCTAAGAGATATTATCAAAACTGAGGGCTTATGGCTGGTTTTTGTAGGAAATATGACCATTAGAGAAAAGGATGGTTTGGTACAGAGTTTACGTAATGCTGGCTTCATATTGCTGCAATATTGACTTTGGTAAATCTTAGAATATATCAATACAGTACAGATCAGAACCAACTGTTGTGTTGTCATTTGGTGGTACAATTATGAGAAAGTGGTGCCCCAATAATGTTATTAATTCACAGGACGAGTGAAGATTAATGGAGAGTTTACAAAGTTCAAAATTTTAGATATAATATGAAAAAATAATATTACACAGATTGAGCAAGTATCAGTGTATTGAATATCAACGTATCAAATATCAAGTATCTCCATATTGAAGGAAGAAAGAAATAATCTCATGGCAGTCATTACAGAGAGCCAGTTTTCATGGCATAATTTTTTCTTCACAAATATATATCCTGTGCTGTTCTTTGTTGTAACATGTTTGAAGATTCAATAAGAACAAAGACATTTTTTCAATAAGGATTATTTTATGGGTTTGGTAACATACTGAACATGTTTGGGGTTTTCTGAAAGACTTTTCTTAATGTATTGCAAAATGTAAAAATAATCTGTTCCTTACTACCGTATACGTGCATTGTTATCAGTTGGGTAGGTTAATTTCCAATCCCATGAAAAGAATGACGTTTTTTCATTTGTGCTCCAGAACAATACAGATTGTCTTTGTGCTATTTTTTATCTCGCTACCCCAGCTCAACTGAGACTCAAGCAATTTTATTTATCCTATTTAATTCACTTTAAGAGCAAAATAATAAGATATGAAATTACTTAGAACTGGATACTTCTGTGCTGGCATGTGGAGAAAGTCAGGTATGCAACTGGAAAAGTAGAGATAATCTGATAATCTCCCCAGTGGAGTCAAGTTTTTCCCTTTAGATGCTTTCCTCTGTTTATTCCCAGCTGTAAGGTAAAAAGACCCTGTGGACACATTCAGTGAAGCACAAAGCAGGGAAGCAGTTGCTCCCTGGGATGTCAAAGCCACCTGCAGCAACTATTCCAGTTCCATTTGCATTACACAAATGAGCCAAGCCTGTGTTTTAGAGACCAATACTCGATGATAGTCCCCAGGGCTTGTGCTTGTGTATATTTTCCCAGCTTTACCTAGGGTCTCCCTGTTGTCCAAAGGGACGTCAGAGAGGAGCTGCTGACAGCAAGGAGTCTGGTTTCCCTGTGTGGAGGGCAGCCTACACGGGCTGTGTCCCAGTCTGAGACACACCACACCCAGTAGGGAGTAAAGGCGCAGTGCACTCAAGCCTGAAAAATTGGTAGCATCCCCAGATCCTCTCAGTGCATCTCTGAGAGCTGAAAGCAAGTGAAAAAGAAACCAACCAACCAATGCACCCACCCACTCAGCCTGGAATTGGGTGATGGTGAAGGTCTTTTTTTCCCTAATGGTAAATAAATAATTTTGTTGTTATTACAGTTGTTGAGAATTGATGAATGTCAATTAAACATTTGATGGGAAGGATTTATCAGGGACAAGATAAGATTGCTGGTCAAATCCAGAAAGGCTGTCCTTTTCTGTCACACTGGTTTGCCTGCATCTCAGTGACAGACTCATGGGTCACTCATGCTTCAGAGGTCCTTAACCTATTGCTTATCCCAGTCCCAGATCTAATACTACACCTTAACCTGTTGTTAATTTCCCTCTTCGTTTTTATTTAACAGAAAAAAAAGTCAGGTCTCTGTTTTAGTCTGATGGCAAAATGAAAACACATTTCAAAACCTTGAAATATATCAGGAATTAATTCTTATATTCCAGGGGCTTTGGACAGGGGCCAGGGCACCAAGGATCACTGTCTACTTTATGCTAGGCAGTAAAATATAGAATCCAGGTAGTTCATGTTGGTCCTACAAGTTTTCAAGATGTTCATGGTAGATTATAGAACAAAACATTAGTAATACTGCTAAACCAGATGTAATTGCAAATTCCAACCTTCTTCCTATGTTTACATCACAATCACAGTTTAGCTTGAATCCACTGTCCTTTGCCATTAAAATTGTTAAATTTATTTTAGACGAAGTGTGAGGTAGATGCACACAAAACTCTGGTAATACTGTTCATAGATCATTCATAGATCATTGATTTTTAATTGCACATTTTACAGACAACACTTTAAGGACATCACTTAGCTGAAAAACACCACCTGCAATATTTTTTTTTTTTTTTAATTTTTTTTTAAGAGGCAAGAAACAAAATGAAGAAAGGAAAAATTCAGAAACAAGACAGACTGATTCATCCTGCATGATCACTGTCTATTTCCCTTTCTTTTCCTGGGAATTCATCTGAACACTAACTCTCACAGTGATTGACTGATGTAGTGAAACCCGATAACATTTCACAGCAGCCCTCCTCCTCTGTTTTGCTAGTGAAAAAGCCAGGCAGCTACAAGTGACTGTGGGCTTGTTCAAGTTTTTTTAGAGACACAAAGATGACTATCTTTTAGGTGGTTCTTTAATTTCAAATGCAGAAACAGGTTCAGTAGCAAGGAAACTCTTGCTCTATGTTCTTCTCACCACAGGGCACATCTCTCAGACTTCATAATTAATATACTCTTTTGCTCTTAAGGATTTTCTTCACTTTCTCAAAAGAGTAAAAACCAGTAAGACGGCAAGGCCCAGACTACTGGACCGTGCTGAGGTTTTTGTTCAGACAGAGGAGGAAACTTGCAGCGCTTTCCTGAGCTGGCCTAATCTAATCCTGAAATAGGAACTTCCTTCTGGAGGTTTAAGAAAGAAGAGTTTCTGTTGCCAGCTCTATGAGGGCTTAATTTGACTACACACTATATGGATAAAACCAAGGAAAGAGCAAAATTTGACCTTTTTTTTTTGTTCATATTTGGATGATTCGCAGGTGTTGCTGCTCACTGAAAGGCTCTATGTAGCCTTCTTTTCTAGCATTAAAAATAGTCCATGCATTATTTAATGGGATTAGTATTTAATCAGCTCATTAATATCCTATTTAATTTCCCCTTTTATTTACAGGAGCGGCAGGAAGCAGCGTGCACACAGGCTGTCCCCGGCAGAGGTGGAGGCCATGAGGGATGTCCTGGCACACAACCTGTACCAAGTGCGACACAGGGTGCGTGAGCCGCGCTCTTTGCAGGCCGCAGCCCTTGTTTGCCCTCCCCGTACCGCGGCCCCGGGCACCGGCTGGGACCTGCGAGCCCGCGGCCGGCCGGGGTGGGCAAGGAGGGAAGAAGGGAAGAATCCGTGTCTGAGCTGTAGAGGTCAGGCTTCCCTCGCCGCACGGCTGTCCGGCCGGCAGGCCGCCTGGCCGAGGCTGGCCGGGCTCCGGGAGCGCAGCCCGGCCCTGGCAGGGCTCCCACAGCAGCAGCGAAACTCCGCTGCGGGGGCGGGCGGGGCAAGCAGCGCGCAGCCCTGCGTGGGAGCGGCATTTACCCGCAGCGCAGGAGGAAAAAAAACGAAGGGAAAAATTTTTCCACGTCCTCCGAGCTTCATTTTACACGTTTAGGTGTTTTTTCCCCCCCCCCGCCCCCCCTTAAAGTGGTGTGATAATACCTCAGCGGGGATTTGTTTTGCAGAAATTTGTAGTGACCCTGATGCAGCCCAGGGTATGGTATCTGCTTAATCCAGTCTCGGGCACTGAATAGAAAATTGAGAGCACGCCCACAGCAGTGAGTGGGAGAGAATACATTACAGTAACCTTGAAATTACGCCGATAAACAAGGCTAACTCATGTAACACACGTGTACTAGAAAATGCTAGGGCCTGCTCATTTAAATGTGGCATTATTAATATGTTATTCATTCCTAACGTCGTTTGATTTGCCGTGGCTAATTATCCTTATGATATGAATTTCTTGTCTTACCAGCAACAATTTGCATATATAGTTATCTCTTAGCTTACTGAAATGAACTCTCTCTCTTCAAAATCAATTACAGTAATGACTATTTGTGCTAGTAATTTCCTATGTAGTATTGAGAATAGCGTGCTTTTGGAAATGAAAGATTGGATGGAAAGTAATGCCACTTCTAATACTCCTTTTCAGCTCTGAAAAGCTCTTGCTCCCCAGACCAGCTTTACAAGGACCGTAGCAAATGAAACTGAGATCAGATTCTACTTTTTAAGGGGGATTATAAACTTCAGTGAATTTTTCTCTTTAAGGCAGATAATTATTTCTGTCATTTCACTAGATGTATACGATAAACTAAAAAGCTTGTCTTAAATGATGCTCAGTTTAAGGGTAATAATAATTTGTAGTTTGTCCAAGCATGAAAAGGAAACTCAGTGTGCATCTTATTCTGGAGATTCATTGTTTGTTCCTGAGTGCATCTGAAGCTTGCTCCAGGCTCAATAATATTAGTACCAAAGCTCAGAGCTGAGTTGACCAGTTCTCTCTTTCTTGGGACCTGCCTTATATCTGCAGCTCCCAACTACACTTGATGAGGTAAGAGATGACAAAGACAGGACAAGCGCCGAGATGATAACAGCCTTCATAGGTAGGTATATTTTATATACCTGCACTTTGAGCAGGTAAGAGTCTATTAAAAATGGCATCAAAATGCAGCCCTTGAGGTCTGAGACTTACAGCTGTGTTCATGCTTCCTCCCGTCTTGCTTTGCAGCAGTGAGATTTGTGCATGGCTGCATTTTGCAATGTGATACCAAAGAGATCTGTGTTGGGTTGGTGACCGAGCTGAGGCAGATGTTCCCTTGGCCCTGTGATTGATCAGACTGATTAACATTGCAAATGCACAGAAAATGACCTGGCTGCATTTTCTGTTTCAGGCACCAGCATACAACCGGCACAATCTTCCTGCTGACACAAGTGAGAAACAAGCGCAAGAAATCCTCATCCGTCGGGAACACAGCCTGAGGCAGAGTTGCAGGAAGGGAAACAGCTTGCCTTGGGGTAGACCGGTACCTGTTATCCATCTACTGTTTATGTAAAATTGTCTTTGCTTCTCTGTAAATATGGAAAGACACTAGTTTTAATTTGCTCTTCGCTGTAATTAAAATGGATATTTTCCCGGTGTGCTCATGCAGCACTTATGAAGAAAGAGCTTCACTTAGCAAAATTTTCATGTCCCATCTCTATGCATTGGTCAGAAATCGGCTACTCTGGCTGTATGTAGTAAAATGATGTAACTTGCATTGATTTTGTATGTGCAAAGTATAGTGTAATCAAAAAAGGCCTGATGCAAATCCTCTGGCACATTGATGATTTGGGTTCTCAATCAGTAAGAAATTTGTCTGACCAGAGGTGGGCATTGAACAGCACAGACATTTATAGCTGAGATAATCATGGTTAAGGAAGAGAAATAAGTTCTTTTTGGATAGGTTAGTTGTATTCAAATTTTTCTCCTGAAATACGAATGATGAATCTTAGAAGAACATGTTTTTCTCTGGTGACGGTGAAAAACCCTTTGGCTGTTATATCAGACAGACATTCTCACTGGAGCTGACATTGAGTTCTACCATCCAAACCAAGCATTGGTCTTATTCATACCTATCAAAATTTGGCTGTAAAGGTGCAGAATATTGCCATGAGTCTTTACTGTTGCACCAAGTTAAGTGCCAAGTGGAGGCAATCACAGGCACTGGACACACTTCTGTCTCCCACACAGATTAACACCACAGAACTACGCTACTTCTCCTTGCCTCAGGGTCCACGCCAGCCCACTAGAAGAAAAGCCAGGCACGTTACTTTTACAGGTAATGGAAGTGCTTTACTCTGTGTCTACTCCAGCAGCAAAGAAACTTGGCCAGTTGTTTGGTGGATTTAACAGTACCACATGCACATTCCTATGGAAGTGGAAAACGGCCTCTTTAAATGAGCTACACCCTTCTCTCATTTTTTGTTAATCTATGTTGTTTATATGATCATTACTGCAGCAATTTCTGTTTTGCTCCAGCACCTCCTCCTTTTCTCTTTTTTCCTCTTGAACAAATATTCCTGGGATCCCTGCAGTTCTGTCTGGCCGAGCTCAAGAACACAAATTAGCCATTCCCCACAGCCCCACAGACAGAGCTGTATGCAAAATTATTATGTAGCCCAGTCCAGATGACACTGATGGAGCTCCATGCCCCCAGGTCCTGCAGGTACCAAGACTTCATATTCCCAACAGGAATACACACCAAAATTCAGTGCATGAGTACACACAGCCAGACACAGAGAGCAGCACAAATATGGCACAGAGCTCACACAAATGCAAACAGCACTGATGACCTCATCCTTTTCCCCTCTCTGGCTGATGAGACTGATAGACTGTTAGTGAAAAATTATAAATACATACATGCTATCTGAATCTTCGGTAGCTGGCCTGAGATACATGCTCTGCTCAGTAGCTGGAGACCCTGTACCTTCCATCTGCACATTTGGTGGCACTTGGGCAAGCAAGTCCCTGGGGACACAGCCCCCTAGCAGCTGCTGGTACACAGACCTACACACATGCACACAGAGACGTGGTCTTACACTCTACCTCATGTATTGCAGGACCCTCCAGTAGCTGGCCTTGGGCAGCCAGTCTTCCCTGGAGCAACTTCCTGGATCCGCTGGTCTCCTCTTGCCTTACACACAGGGACACACACGTGCAAACCTGTCTCTTTGGTATCCAGACTGGTTTGCATGTGTGCATTTCCATCCATTATGGCCTTACTAGTAGCCAGCCACAGATCCCATGGTCTCTTCAGTCACTGCTCTGGACCTCCTGCTCCCTCCAGTAGTCAACTTACAGGCCTTCTGTTCTCCTCAGTCTTTGTTCCAGACTCGTGGTTGCTCCAATAGGCAGTTCCCAAGCCTCTTATCCTACTTAATGGCTGCTTATGCTTGATGATTTCCAGCAATTTTGCACTGACAGATGCATCCCAGTCCCTCCAGCTGCTGGCACTCAGGCCTCCACACACACAAGCACACAGTATGGGGAGCTGCTGACAGAGGAACACAGTCAGAGGTGTAGTCAAATGAAAAGACAGATTGCGTTGATCAAGTGCAGGGCTTTACTGGACATATGTACTGACTGGCCCTTTTTATCCTCTTTTTTTCCTGTATTTCCTGCACTTTTTTCTCCCTGGATTTCCCAGGTCTCTTCCTTTCACTGTCTTTGGTTCCTGCCTTAAATGCTCTATTCAAAGTCTTGTATGGGCACCCACATATAATGACAGCAAAACGGAAACCCATAGGATCTACTCAGAGATAAATGCTACTCAAGCGGATTTTTTTGGTCTTGTTTATCAGGACATCTTCACAGGAGATGTCCTGATGTGTCTTTTTAAAAGAGTTAAAGTATTCCACACAGCAGTCTCAGACCTAAAAGCACTGCAGACACTTTCAAGGAACCAAATGCTGCTATAGGAGGTAGGCATATCATTTTAGTGATAAAAGAGCTAAATCCTGAAGCAGTGAATGCAAGTACTTTTTTTTTCTATTAGATAGGCCTGAATTTAAGCTCTGTCTTGTAATCTATCCAAATAAGTAACTTTTTGGTCCAGGCTCTGGCCCCCCCCTTAGGGCCATTGTGTAGCATTAGCACCACTTTAAGTGTCTTCAGCAGGAAAAAGCCACCCTAAAGTCTTCTTATAAACTGTTGGGATGAGATAAATTGCACTTGGAAACTAAGAAGAGAAGTACTCAGTGTGTAGGGAATTAGTGACAACCTCATTCATGCACACCTGCATTTTCAGAGATAAATGTCATCTCTTTTGTCTATGCCTGGAAGAACTTCTGGAAAAAATCTTCCAGCAAGCTTGTTTTAGGTTTTATATATAGCACGTGCGGAAATTTTAGTAAAGGGTCTGAAATGACCACAAATAGATCCTTAAGTCACCTATCAGCTCTTTCTGCCACACATATAAATGAATTGTCCAGAGAGGTTGTTGTTGCCCAGACAAATGATGGATTCCCCATTCCTGAAGGTGTTCATGAGCAAGTAGATGTGGCTGAGAAACCTGATTTAGTGGAAGGTTCCCTGTTCATGGAAGTGGGGCAGAAGTAAGGGATCTTAAAGGTCCATTCCAACACTAACCAGTCTATGATTTTATTAATTATTTCTTTGGCAGTATATATAATTCATACTTTGTAGCAGTGATGTTCCCAAAGAGCTAAGTAGAAGCCCTGGAAATCTGAGAAATCCTATCGTGCTTGGGGTGTAGTATGTCCATGTGGTCTATGAACAGCAGTGCTTTACTGTGCCAACTGTGAAATAAACGTTAGCTTAAAATAATTTAATTGTTATGGATCTGTAATAATTTCTTCAATTTTGAAACTGTGACCATAGTCAACACATGTGTACTTTAATTGTAGCAGGATTTGGAATAATTTTACTGTTCATAGACCTTTGTATTTATATCCCAGATCCTCCTAGCTTAGATTCTTAGGAGTTGTTTCTTACATTAGCTACTTTCCTACTGTGTAGTTAGACTACAAGCAGCTACTTTCCTACTGTGTAGTTAGACTACAAGCAGCTTTAGGAAAGTGAAAAAGTATATTCTGTAAACTCATCAGGATGAGGATGCCAGTTACTGGCCTCTTGCAGGCACATTTTTACAATCTACCTGTGCAAAGCAAGCTGGTAGGAGCAGAGCTGACACACCCAAAGTAATCAAAGCACCCTTGGTTTTAGATGAAACTGTTCTCTTCCCACTTATTAGTCACAGGTCACTGGCAAACTTGATTTTTGATTGACCAGAATTTTCTCCTTTATCTCATTTTTGTTTTGTGTTGTGGGTTTAAAAATGCTTTTTAACCATGTTACTAGGTACACTTGTGAAATTTTAGGAGAATTTAAATTGCATAAAGGAATGCTCTTGCATTTCACTTTTGCAGTGAAGGCATTGGGCAGGTCTGTGAGACACCAAAAGGTAGGTGAATATGCTGGGGTTTCAGAGCTGAGATAAGGCAAATAAAATCTTTTAAACAGCAGCTTAGAGATGAAAATTAAAAATCAGGGCTCTTTTTAGTTCTTGACTGCCTTCTTATTCTATAGTAATTATTTAAAATGCTTCAGTTCCAGGGTATTGTATTGAATACCCTTTATCTCTCCTTTCTAATACCATGGCATTTCTCTCTTCTCTTCTTTAAAAAATGAATTATTTGTCTATTTAGATCAGCATAGAAGTGGCTCTGATGCTGTGTTGCCGTTAACCTCGAGGTCCCAGCCCCGCCTACGGCCACTGGAAGCAAAGCAGCACGAGGAGCTGATTCCAATGGCACACTTGGACAGACGAGCTGGTCCATGCAATCTGTCAGGTCGAAGAGGAAATTCAATCAGGCGTCATCGTTTCACCAGAGCAGACAATCCAGCTCCAATGCCAAAGGCTCGGTTCACTGTCAGAGAAGTGGAGGAGTATGAGTCAGAAGAAGAGACAGAAACAATGGCACCAGCCAGGCCATTAGTTATATGAGGAGCAGACATCATCAGTGTTTGCATCTCTAGGGCCCCTGCTGCACTGCTTCAAAACTAACAAAGCTTTTATATGAACCAAACTATGATTTTCCTCTGGGGACCAGTGTACTTGCTCTCGTATCACTTTCAAGAGTTGTATTAAGGTACTTAGTGGCTCAGAGAAGACTCAAATTCTTATTTGCTAATATCAAGCTTTCTTTCCAACAAAACACTGCAGGAAAGAGGAGAACATGATATTTGTAGGAGTTTGGACGTGGATTTAAACAGCAGTAGTTGGGTGCATGAAGTGCTACGGATGAAAGTTGAAAATGCCTTTGTTTTATACTATGGTCTGCACCCAGAGATATATAAAGGTGTCCCTGACATGTGAATGCACAGATTGATTACCTCAGCTAGCACAGAGCTTTTGATTTCAGATCAGAATCAGCTGCATTCCAGGGAAGAGTTAAAAACAGAAAGGCTTTTTAGGGCATATAAATGTCACTGAAGATGCCTAAGCAAGACCTTAAGTCAAAAGGAACAGTGAACATTTTAAGCACTTGGGAACCTCTCAGTAACTCAGGTTTTAGCTCTGCAAAAATGTGTAAAGTCATCTACTGTGATGATCCATGACTCCAGCTACTAAAGTAAATTTCCGTATGTAGACTCCTATTGCTCACCTACAGTTGTTTTGGATGAATAAAGGAGGTATCCTTGTATGTACAAATCCAGAGGAGTTGTCAGGCAGGAGTGCCATCAGGATTTTGTTTGTAAGCATAAGTAAGAACATACACAATATTTTTGTGATTCAGCAAGTGGGAGGCTTCCTTGTAAAGTATCTAATTTCTCCATTCCCCACTCCCACCTTGTGTGCCCAAATGCATACACCGTTCTTCACACTACAACTGGACCAGCAATGCAGATAGAAAGCAAGAAACTGGGATTAAAGGTAGAGGGAGTGTAATCCTGTAACCTGCTGTCTAGTAGGAAAGAGAGGCCCTGTGTTTGCCTCCCAGCTTTTTGTAGTGTCTTCTTATGTGTTATACAGAGAAGATTTTCTCTAAAAGAAAGCAGAAATAACCAGAGGGATGCACACTACATCGCTTGAACTCCCAACCTTTCTATGGAGCTCCCTTCCAAGTGACCCTGTGTGCCCATGCTCCCATCTCAATGGTGGGTCTCCCTAGCAGCAGGAGAAGCAAGAAGTATGGTCTTTAGTAAGTTTAGCTAAGTCCCAGACACCTAATTTCTCTGAAGAAGTTCCTTTCTGTAGAGTGGAAGCAGCATTGCCACTGTCTTCTGTGTATTGGCACTGTAATTGAGCTGATTTTATCCAAAGGGATGAATCCAAAAGTCCATAAACCCAGTCTTACAGCTGCAGTGAAGTCAAATCTATGGTTAAGAAATGTACCAAGTTGAGTCACATTTTTGTCAAGTTTCCTCCTGTTTCTTCCATTCAGACCTTGCTCAGGGTCTGTAAATGCTACTCTAAGAGTGAGAGATAGCAGTGCTCCTTGCATGTTTCTCTTTTTTATATTGCTGGTATTGCTTGTATGTCCTGGTCCATAAAAGAACTTATTTCTGTACGTTATGATTTCACATTTCTTACAAAGGCTTTCTGATTCAGGACAGAATCTAAACCAACAAACATGAAAAGCACCGCCAGAGGAAGAAAGCCCTACAAGCCCTTTCCCCCATTTTCTCATGTTTGCAGCTTTTATGCTTAGCAGGTTATAATGAATCATCTGTACTGAAACTGTACAAAGCTTTATGAAACTTGAGTTCTGTTTGTATTTCCTTATTGTGCCAGAGAAATTATATGACTTCCTTTTATGAAAACAGTGGTACATTATTAAAACAGGGTAGGATTTTTCTTCTGTACCGATACCAAATTAGCAATGAAATACAGTTCTGTACCTGAAAATCAACAAATAAACCCAGCTCCACCAAAGGAGGAAGTGCTCCACAGAGTTTTTAAACAAAAGCCTTGCACCAGATCTCAGTCCTACAGCAAGTTATATTGACATATCATAAATCTAAATTAAAACATGATATTAAGGGAAAGAGTTATTATACAAACTCAGGTCTTAAATTGCACTGTGAGCCACATGGTTGCCACATGATATCTAATGGAGGGCAAAATTAGTACCCATATGATGTGGTCTTAGGCTGCAGAGGTGCATGGAGTGAGGTAACAGAGGTGTGAACAGAGGCTTCTGCATCACAGAGTTGTGGGGGATTAAGATCTCCAGAACTGGCTGGTGGGTGATAGGAACTGCTGGCAATCCCTGGGGACAGAGAGAATGTGGAAATCTGAAAGAAAGATGAAGAAGGGATAGTGTCTCATTTTCCAAGGGAGGCTCATGAGAAGCAGCTTTTATGGAGGAATTACTGTGAGCTGCAAATTCAGCATTTCATCTTTAAGAAGATTTAATCAACTAATTGTCTGGGGGAACTGGACAGAGACAGACTCTGTGAGACAAGGATTAATGGGATGTCAGGAATGGCGTGGGAAGGGACCAGACATACATCATGAAAAAGAGGAGTGTGTGCATTTTGGCCAGGGTATGTTTGACAGATATGCTCAAAATTGACTCCTAAATTCCTTAAATATTGTAGAAGTTGTAGAGCATTGTATAATTACCCATTAGAAGTAGGGAGCAAAACATTCAGTTTCTAATTATGGGTTTATATTGGGACTAGAGAAAAATAATAAAATACTAAGAGAATTAGTGCACAGACAGAGTCAAATCTCTCTCCTTTGCTTCATTCCTAATCTTCTTGTTGATGAAATCAGTGACCCAGAACTTCAGAGAGTGTAAAGCTGTAGAGAAGTTAGAAGTTAATAGAGTGCTTTCAGATTTTGCAGACTAGTTCCTAAACTTGTAAAGTCTATTTTTAGTTTTCATTCCTAGCAATTAGTATATAGTACTGGAAGAAAATTTCCTTCTGTGCCATTAGTTGCTGGTAATGGCTTTGCTGGCCATCAGCCAAGAAGCAATGCTGCAGATGCCTATATAAAATATGTTCTAAAATATAATGTTACACATTTTTATTTTTTTTCATAGTTATTTTTTGTGGACAAAACAGTTCTCCTGAAAGAAGCACATTACTTATATTTTAAATAGCAATAACTACAGCAATATCTTATTACAAGTAACTTAATCCATGTCTATAGGCTTTCAGGCCTCACCATAAAGAAAGCTGAAATGGTTTAGGGCATGAATTTAAATTCAGTGTGTGGGCATTCTTAAGCTCTTGAACCTGGGTCACATCCAGGAACCTTGTGCTGATAATTTACAAAGGTAAGTTAATTCAAGACCTCTTTATTTTTTTTTTTTTTTAGGCTGGTAGAGTGCTATTTAGTCAGGAATTGAAATTTCACACTGATTTAAGGTAAACTGGCACAGGAAATGCATGCCCAGAAGGTGAAGAATATTATTCAAAATCCAGAGAGGAAATAAGGGCTCAGAAAATGAAGACTGTTTCATTGGCAGGACAGGTGAGTTTCAGGAAGGAATAATAATTAATAGCCTTTACCTTTCACAGTAGAGAAAACAGGAGATATACCATGTGGTGGCTTAAGCCCAGCTTGCAACTCAACCCCATGCAGTCACTCATTCCCTCCCCTTTGGTGGGATGGGCGAGAGAAGTGGAGGAAACCTTGTGGGTTGAGATAAAGGCAGTTTAGTAAGTAAAGCAAAAGTCACACACACAAGCAAAACAAAACAAGAAATTCATTCACCACTTGCAATGGACAGAGACATCTCCAGGAAAACCAGGCTCCCATAAGCATAACAGTGACTTGTGAAGGCAAAAATGTCCTCCCCTTCCTTCCTATTTCCCCAACTTTATTGCTGAGCATGACACCACATGGTGTGGGATATCCCTTTGGTCACCTGGTGAGCTTCTTGGCACCCCCAGCCTGTTTATTGGTGGGTGGGGTGAGGGGCAGAACAGGTCTGTGTTCTGTGTACACAGAACTCTGTGCAAGCACAGCTCAGCAATAACAAAAACCTCCTGTTATCAACACTGTTTCCTGCACAAAAGCAAAATACAGGCCCATATGAGCTACTATGAAGAAAATTAACTGTATCCCAGCCTACCTACCTCACTCCTGAACAGAACTTGTTAATAAATGAGAAAAATAAGACAAGAAAGACAATCATAATGAGAACATATTTTAGGAGTAAAAGCAACAATGTTCAAACAGAATATTGCAGAAAAAGGGAGAGATTTTTTGAGGTCAGTGATATGTTGTGAGGAGCTGGCAGTACTTTCATATTTATTGCACAGTGATTAAGTGTTAGACCTTGCTGCTCTTCCTGCAGGTATTGCTTTTCAATTACTATCCCTGGTGAGTAAGAATGTGTAGTAAAAGAAGAATCTCTCCCTTAGAGAACTTAGCAAGAAGGATGCAGCCGCAAGCGGAGTGCCAGCAATCAGGACAAGACAGCAGCTTGTGCAGGGGGCATCCAGTTGTGATGGATGTTACATCCAAGTTAGGGTGCACTGGAAGAAGGCATTGCTGTGGTCTCTCTTCAAGGGACAGTGGTACCCACACCTGAGCAGTCAGGGCTGCTGCCATCTGTACAGCACCCATGGGGAAAACTGCTACTCACAGGATAATGCCAGCAAGCAGGATAGGGAAGGATGCTGTGAAAGACCCAAAAGAGTTTCTGAGTCACACCAGGGGAGGACACTGGCAAAGGATGCAGAACCAGGGGCTGGGGAAGGCAACTCCCCGTGGGGCAGGGCTCAAAACCCCAGTGAATGGAGCAGGCATGTGTCTATTGCAGCCAGAGAGAAGAAGCTGCAGTGGATGGAAAAGAACAAATGTCCCGGCGGGAGTTCTAGGCGGGCTGATTTAGTGCTGTGTGTGTGCCAAGGAGGTACACTGGCTTAAATGACAAGAGTTCAGATGTGTTCAGAGCAGCAAAGGGAAGCTATATGAGATTCGGGAAAGTAGGTCAGAGTTTAAGGTTGGAGAGGCTTATAGTGATCATGTTTAGTGTGAGAAGGATAAAATTCATATTTACGAGAGAGGTAGTCAAAGAAAGAGGACAGGTGATATATGTAGGGGAAACCATCAAATTGTTGTGAATGCAAAACACAACCTATAAGTAGATGAAAAAAATGAAGAAGAAAAAACCAGAAGATGAAAAAAAATGGTG